TAAAATGGCTTGTTTTGCACTAGCCAGTGTGGCTCAGTTGGTTGGAGTATTGTTCTGTAAACCGTAAAGGTCATGGGTTTGATTCCCGGGAAGGGCACATACCTGGGCTGTGGGTTCAATCCCAGTAGGGGTGCCTGCAAAAGGCAACCAGCCAATTATTTCTGCCACACTGATGTTTCTCTCCCTCTCTTTCCTTCCCTTCCCCTCTCTCTAAAATCAAAAAGCATGATCTTGGGTGAGGATTAAAAACAAAAAGTAACACAAAAGGGCTTGCTTTAGAAAAGGAATGCTCACTGACGTTGTTAAAAAAATAACAAAAAACAAAACTCTGAACAAGTGTATATCTAGAAAAAGAAATTAGCAATTTTGAATTATGTTCTTTACTTTTTTTGTGTGTATATTCAGGGATGAAGGAGAACTCAGACTCATTTGAGTTTACACTATAAAAAACTTGTATTTTCCCCTTTTCATCCTTTCTTTGTTACCTCCGCTGATTTCACAGAACTCAAAGACCCTGTGTCTCTGGGGATTCAAGTACCAAGTTCTTTCACTCAGTGCTTATCAAACCACATTTTGGTACTTTATTCCAGAAATTATTTCATTTCAGTTGTTTGTTCAGTCTGTAAAACCTATTCATGCCCAACATGTAGTAGTGAGTGGTGTTCTGTGATGGCAGAGGTACAACACGCCAATCAATCCACTGGCTGTCTCCTGGCACCGGCTGCTCCCCCTTAGCAAATTCCCAGAATGCTCTGGGCTTGGCACTCAAGACCCAGGTCTCCGGCTGTAGCCCTGGCTGGAAGTAGCTGTCTCCCTTGACGTTCTCTGCAGTGCTTAAGAACTGGTAACTCAGCACGTCACTGCTAACTTTAGCCCAGTCTAAAATCAACAAACGTAGCCTCAGAAGAGTTGTTTCCATTTTCACAGATCCAGTTGAAAATGAGTTTTTCACCAATGACTGTGATAAAAACAAAGTACCAGAAAGAAGTAGCCATTCCAACTCCATTTTGGGTGGCACTAAAATTTGAAAATTTTTACTATTTTGTAAGATCCCAAAGTCTTAAGATCTCCAAACTGGCAATCCTTCTTACATTCTTTTACATTAGCTAGTGGGCACTGAACATTTCACGGTGGATGAGGGTTAGCTATTTTCTTACAATCTCTGTGACAAGTCCGAAAAAACAAAACAAGCCCAAGCCTGCAATATCAATACAATAGCACAGAGTATAACATTTAAAATACAATTTTGTGCTGTAACCATGTTCTTGATTTGAACTTCGCTTTTAATATTTCTAGTTTATTGTCAGCTAATTGCTAACTGTTCATTTTCTGAGACTTTGATGTTTAAATGTTTTGTGAAATGGAGGTGATAATAAGTGGTACAGTTTTAATATCCTCCTATATGATAATAAGGTGGTACCTATGTTGGTCCAAAAAGTTTTAAAATTTACTATTTTGTGAAATCCCCAAGTTTTAAGACACTATATTAGAATGCACAGCAAAATATACCCTAATATAAAGTTGCATTCTTACTTGGAAAACTACAGATGAAAAACCAAGTTACTTTCCAAATCCATTCAATGGAAACTAGCAATCTGGATAGTCCAATCCAATATCTGATGTTTCTCACAAATCTGAGCCAATAGGGTCCTACACAACTCTTACATTCTTCTACATTAGCTAGCGGGCATTGAACATTTCACAGTGGATGAGGGTTAGCTATTTTCCTACAATCTCTGTGACAAGTCAGAAAAAACAAAACAAGCCCAAGCCCAGATCAGACTGTTCTATGCGTAGGCTTTAGTAGACACTGATGAGCAAGCGCTCAGAAGACACGTACGCTACTGTTCGCTAGGCTTAGGGAAGTCGTGCTTTTCTGTGTGGTGGGTCACTCCCCACTCTCCGGGAAAAGTCCATTTAATGCGAACTCGATAAAATTCCAGAGATAGGAGTGTCCTGTCCAGTCCCCAGAAGCAGCCAGAAACCCTGGGACAAAACGGCAGGAAGCAAGCCCAGCGAGGGGTCAAGCCTCAGGCACCACACCTCACTAGACTGGCTCTTTCTCGTGCAAGGATCGGGGACCATCATGTAATGATTTAAGTGAGTTCACATACCCTGACAACCTCTAGTTTAACCAATGAGGACTGCTACTGGTATCTACTATACTGATCAACAAACTGTTGATTTCAAAAAAAAAGTCTACTTCAGGCATTTGCTCCGATTATCAAAACCTTTGGTGGTGACCAAGATGTGGATGCCAGAAGCACCTGTAACAGTTGCCTGTGGCGTTTTTAACTACAGCACCTGTCACCTCATAGCACACATAAACTAATTACTGAAATTCTATGCCACGCCAAAAAATATATTTTTTGCCCATCTGACAAAAAATAGGTATAATTTTGACCCATTCACACCTGCTGCCATTTTTTTATCTGACACTGTAAGGGAAAAGAGGTCGGTGCCGCTGACCAATCATCAGGTACCGTTGACCAATCGTCAGGTACTGCATGTTTGACAAGTTCTGGTGGCACAGCGGTTGAAAATCACTAGCCGTCCACTCCCGGAGCAGGAAATCAGCATTAGAGCCGCCACCTGCCGCTGGGGGAGCGTGCAACTTGACACATGCATGAAACCCCTTACACATAACTGGGGAAAGAAAAAATACTGTGCAACTCGCCCAGTTTCTCAGGACCCCCAAGATTTTGTTTCAGGTGGGGACAAAGAGAAGGCAGTGGGGAGACAGGGAAGAAGGGCGGGAGCACCTGTTCTGAAACTCACCCCCTGCACCAGCTCAGGTGCTGGCGCTGCCCTTCCAGCAGCTGCAACTAACGCGGACGGGGCTACTTGGTAATGCACAGAAATGCCCAGGCTTCTTACAAAGCAATTGTTGCAACTTCAGAGCATCCTGCGCTGCCTGAGCAAGCGCGCCCCCTCGTGGCCTTTCATGGCAACCAGGACAAAGTTAAACCAGTCAGTTCTTCAAACAGAACGCATGTAAATATGAAATTCTTTATTAAATTAGTACCTGGATGTTAGGGCAATTGGGAAAGAATTAAACTCATTGGCTTCTGAATTCTAAATAGCTAAAGATAGATGCAACTAGAATGTCTTAAATAAGCAAAAATGTCAATTTTTCTTATTAGATTTATATTTTAAATTCTTCATAGGATTAACTTTAAAAAATACATTAGATTAAAATAAATTCAGAGCTACATAACTGAAATTATATATTGAGTAATGAGATGCTAAACAATAATCTGAAAGCGGAGGTTCTTTCATCTAGCACTTACTGAATGCCTATTATATGCTAGGCACTGTTCTGGGTACTGGACATACCAGTGAACAAAACTGCACTGTTTTAAATGTAAAGGGAACTTGTAGTCCTTGAGATGTTGACTGATTAAATACGTCCATGATGATGTTTTAATTTGTTCCGTTCTTGGTGATTATTTCAACAAAAAATATTTGGACTTTTAGATTCATTTCCTTTCTGAACATACACTACGCTCTCAAAAATCCCAGTCCGGCACCCCGAGGCTGCCTGGGGGACGTGCTGGGTACCGGGTGCTCTCCAGGGGCCCGACCCACACAGCTATGCGCATCTGTCTGGGAGCAGGGCTCACCGCCGTGCGGGGGGAGCCTTTCTCTGAGGCGCTTTGCTCCGATGCTCTCAAGCCACCCTCCCGGATGCTGTTTTGCAGCAGGGCACTGCAGATACAACCTCGGGCTGTGGTGAACGTCACTTCATGGCTCTCAGCCTTCACTGGTAGGGGCCACTTTTGGGGGGGGGCAGGAGTGGTCATGGTGACTGGCCTTCGGAGGTAAGGACCGGGGCTAGATGAGTCCTGCGATGGAATGAGTGTTTCCCCATAAAACTGTCCCACCCAAAAGGCCAATGGCGCCTTCCCACCTAGAGACTATAAGCTGGTGTCACCTGGTACAGAAACGTCTTAAAAAGGTTTTATTTTTTAAAAATATTTATTGATTTTAGAGAGAGGGAGGGGGAGGGGAGAGAAAGAGAAAGAGACAGATACATCAATGGGAGAGAGAAGTTAGCGATTGGCTGCCTCCCATATGCACCCCAACTAGGGATGGGACCTACAACCTAGGCATGTTGCTGGGCTGGGAACTGAACCAACCTCTTGGTGCATAGGACACGCTCCAACCAAGCCACACTGGCCAGGGCCAGAAACTTTATTTCAGGTACCTGTTTTTTTCTACTAGAAAACAAGCCAGATAATTTTAGTGATTATATTATTAAATCATCTACATGCTGCAAAATAAGTTCATGGCAGAGTACCCAAGAAATGCAAAAATGACTTCCTAACTGGCTTCCTGCACCTTCCTCTGGTCGGGAGACTCACAGGGCAACAGGAGGTGTCTACCAAGTACTCACTGCACTGAACACTTTTGAGAACAAGAAGAAAATCTGTAACTCTGACGACTTTTATATCTTGGTCATAGATTTCTTCAAAATAAATACTATTCAAAATTGCTTAGTGATCCCTAAGCTTCAGAAGCTTGTGAAGAAATCACCTAGAAAAGCAAGCACTTTGATGTAATTACATGTTATCATTTTCGTTTCTTTAAGTACCCTCTACCACAGTGGTTCTCAAACTTCAGCACGCATCAGAATCTCCAGGGGTGGGGCGGGCTCTTTCAGCGCCAGGCTGCTGGCCCACGGGCAGAGTCGCTGCCAAGCGTCTAGGTGATGCTGATGGTGTCGGTCTGGGTGCAACGCTGTAAGAATCACTGCTGTAAGATACATTCTCTACTGAGTCACGTCGTACACTTGAAACTAATATAATGCTACATGTCAATTATATCTCAATAAAAATGCCTCATATTTAAAAAGAGAAATAAAATGTGTATTTCCTAATTTAAAAGAAAGCCCTGACCAGTGTGGCTCAGTTGGTCGGCCACCGTCCCGCAAAGCAAGAGGTTGCTGGTTCTATTTTTCAGTCAGGGCACGTCCTTGAACTGCGGATTCGGTCCCTGGTCAGGGTGCACACGAGAGGCAACTGACCGATGTCTCTCTCACATCCGTGTTCCTCTCCCTCCTTTTCTCCCTCCTCTCCCCTCTCTAAAAATACATAAATAAAATCTTTTTTTTAAACAATGTATTTTGCATTATTCAAACTAATAAGCAATACCATGCCTTTGGTTTTTCTAACAGTAAATAAATAAAAGAACATTTCATATATGGCTCCATCAAATTTTAAATTTCCAGACTTCTGAAATGTCCTACTTAAATAGAACAAATACATAGAATTTATTCATCTTGGCTCATATAATCCCCAGGAGCCCAAAGACAGAACCACAGGACGGCCCGGAACGGGACAATCTGTGACTCTGTGACAAAACACGCGGTGACCTGGGGGCACAGGCGCCTGTCCCTCCCGGGCCCCGGCCCTTTGGGAGCCCAGCACGGAACCACGGAGAGCGAGCACATGACCCGCTGCGAACGCAGCACACGCCACAGTGCCGGGTCGTCCTCAAGGCTCGGACTCGGGGAGCTCCTCGTCAGGGCAGCAGTAGTACTCCACAAAACAGACCTGCCCGTCCTCGTTCCTGATCATGTACTGCAGCGAGAGGAACCCCCGGTCGTCCGTGCGGACAGACACCTTGCAGGACAGGACCAGCGCCTTTGTAGAGGGTTTCAGCAGCGAGATCTTGTACCTGCGGGAGCGCAGGGAAGCAGCGGTTATTTGGACGCACTTCCCGCAGTGCTCGTGGCTCCACGGAAAGGACATGAGCCAAGAGCTACCAGGTAGCAAATACACGGATAAAGTCTCATCCTTGTCCAAGTTGCTAATATTTTTCTTCATTAAAAAAAAAACTTATCCATCATAACCCCAAATCCTCAAGTAAACCCAGCATCCCACTATTAACTTTTAAAAATGCTACACTTTCATCAACAGATTGAAAGTTTTAAAAAGTTATTAAAAATCTGGTATTTAACCTCATCACCAATGGTAAGCTCTGCACTAAGAACTGACCTGTTGACCTGGGTCTGATTACAGTGGAATGATTCCATCAAATCAGAGTCTTTGGGATAGTCAAGGTGGGAGCTTCCTGCGTTCCCAAAAGTAGACAACCTACAGCAGAAAATGAGGAAGTCGTTTACTCATTCCAGCAATAAGAAGCCACATTAGAACCCAAATAAAGAGAGCACTTCTGTAAGAAACTCATTTTAGTGAGTGAAACAGGTATGTGAACAAATGTCGACAATTCACTGTAGCAATCGCCCTGACACAGACCCCACAGGGTGCTGTGGGGTACAGGGGAGCTACAACCAGTAAGCAGCGTTGAGAAACACCAGTCTCAGAGCATCCAGGTGTGTGCCTCGATTTCATTACCTTAACCCTGCTCTGATACTGGCCTCCCCTCATCCTCACATCAGAACTGTGCAGGGGAGAGCGAGCTGGAGTGACAGAAGACCCCGATGGGGGTCCTGTTCCCCACCCTCACTGCCACCCCAGGCAGCGACGGCTTCTCTGTGTCTCAGGCTGCTCCTCAGGCTGGCTTATAGCTTTCCTCACTACCGCCGTTTGCACGGGGCGAGCACGACAGAAGGCCCGGGTGCCGGCTTTCCCCCGGACCCAGCTTTTCTCTCTTCCAATGGAACCTTTTCTCTGGGTCCTCTTGTCCCCACCCAGCCATGACGATGGCCCCCAAATTTAAATTTCCGGTCTAGACCGATCTCCTGAGCTCTGTATCTATATATCCAACCACTTTCTGGCATCACCGGCACCTCAGATTTAACAAGCCCAGGAAAAAATCCCAACTCCCCTTTCCCTGCCACCAGGTCATTTCCCACAGTGGAGGCGAAAGGTACCCACGAGCCAGCCAGCCAGCCATGCTGCGGGACAGCCCTCAGTGGGGGTCCTCTGAGATGCTGCTAAAGTGCCAGAACTTTCATTCATATCACTGTTTAAGGGGGTGCCACTAATTTCCATTTTGGTTAACATTTTAACAGACCTTGAACCAAATTTTTAACTGCCTAATGCCACGGGAAGGGCCTTCAGTTCTTCTAAAGTAGATATATTAAAGAACACTTTACTCATTAATATTCTGAAATATTTCAAAAGAGAAGCAATATTTAAATCCTCTCTCTAAATTGATTCTAACCCCAAGAATCTTGCCATTTCCTAATTTGTGGGGTCAAAATATCAGGGGCAGCTTGCGAGCTGCCGATACTGGATTCCCGCTGAGCGCTGCCCTCCCTTGGGACGCTCACCTCCGCCGACCCTTGCTAAGTGCTCATATGTTGCTTCTCTAAGTATCTGTGTATGTATGCTATTTCAGTACTTAATGTCATGCAATTTTGTCTCTCTATGCTGTTTCACATACTTCCCCTTCCCCTTGATTTCAAGCTGCTCTTTCTCACAGTGCCAAACAGAGTAGATACGCACAGGGGAGACCATCAGTAGACACTCAGTGAATGAGCTGTGGATGGAAAACAGCTGCTTCCTGTTACATCCTGTACTAGCTCAAAAGGAAAGAAAAGAGGTACCGTATAATACGAACACTTTTTCTGAAGTTTAAGCCCAGTGTCCGTCATGCTGTAACTGGGTCTGTAACAGTTTAACTAGTACAGCAGTCAAGGACCCCTAGTTTATGAGTTAGGAGCCTGCGCTACTCCTCCAGAAACCAACACTACCTAACTATGAAGCTGTTAGCCAGTGAATTACTCTTCCTGGGTCTTAAGTGTCCTGATCGATAAAAGTGTGAGATATGAGTAAAAGCTCTCCAGAGTCCTGAAAATTCTAGGAACGTGGGCAATGACGAAAGCCGTGCATCCTCAGCAAATGCATAAATACAGAGATGGAGGGAGCCGAGTCGGCGACCAGCGCACTGCCTTCGGTACCTGAAGTAAGGCTTGTCAGGGGACATGGTGATCTGCAGGACCTCGCTGGTCATATCCAATTCGGAAAACGCTTCACGGAGCCCCTCTGACTGCAGAATAATTTTATTGACAACGTTGGTGCTGCAGAAATCGAAATCCAGAGTCTCCTCGGGCTCCTGAGTACTGATTTTACAGACCGTCACCACTCCTCCTTCCTCCAGAAAGAGCATCAGCGGGTAGCCGTAACCTTGGTAGCACATGCGCAGCGCCGTTAAATTCCCTGCAGTGGAAATACATCATACTTTGGACTTCGCTGTATAGCTCTGGGTTGGGCTTACCCTCAGATGATACATAAAACTCCCCAAGAATACTTGAATTCCGCCCAATTTCTAGCACATATGTATGTCTCCCTCTTTTCACAAGGGATCACATCTTCCCTGATGACGGCTTTACGTAGACAACTCCAAAACTAACTGCAAGAAAAGTGGGAACGAAATGTAACGTGACCCGGAAATCGTTTTCCGGCTTGCCAAAACACTTCAAGAAAAAACAACAACAAAAACCAAAAAACCCTTATCGATCATGCGTACACACAACGTGCAGGATGGAGGGGCTACGCGCCCGACGCTGCGGGTCGCTGAGCTGCTGCAGCGGGGGCGGCCCTTTCTTGGAGGCCCCGTCTGGGCGGCCGCGGATGGCTCTGACACTGCCTGCACTGTCGTGTCAGTGTACTCACGGGAAGGGTCCTTCGGGTCTTTCTTACTGGGAGACGTTCTTCACTTTTCCCCAAATTTTAGGATCGAGGGGGAGATAAAGGGGGAACGGTTAGTGGTGGTTAGGGTTTTAACACTGCAAACCACCAGACAGAGGGAGGAATGTGACAGGACACTCCAGCCCCCTCCCTCCCTGAAGGATGGAGAGACGGTGAGGGAGTGGGGGAGGCGGATGCTATTACGAAAAACCAGCTGCATTGGAAAATGTATAATTAGTACTAATGGAATTGTCCATATAATATTAAAATGTATTTTCTAGAGAATCATAACTAAAGTTTCCCTAGCTAATCTCATATTCCTTTCCTGTGAAATAATATTCTGGGAATTCCTTGTAGTTTTATACCCACAGCAACCAAATTCCTGATTTCTAAAACATCCTTAAGAAAATAAAATATATACATATTTTATAGGAAAGCATTTAGAAAAATAGACATAATTTATCCAAAAATAGAAAAGAAAATAATTTTTTGGATGCAGTAAACTAGGGGAGTTAGGAGAACTGGTTTCCCTTTCTCTCTACCACTACCTGTAATTATGGACCTGTTAGGAAAAAGAAGCAACCAAAACATATTTCCACAATGTTAAAGATATTTAAGACATGTTCAGTCTTCTTTTGGTCAGTTCAAATTTAAAAGCTTTGTAAGTTAAAAAGAGATGAATGTAAACACTTTTGCAAAAATAAAGGGAACCACAAGCACCTTTCAATACTGTATAAAGTCAGAATCCATGACTGTAACCATGGAAAAATGATTTTGCAATTCATTTTCTACACAAATGTTTCTATTACTTATACTCTAATAACTTTTCTTTTACTGATCACTCTGGAAAATGTTTTCATGTCATTATAATAATAAAATGGTTCACCTGGCACAGGATTTGATCCAAAAATAGATAAACAGTCTAAAAGGACAGTTAAATTAATTCGAAAAGTAACAGGCTCTTCCTGAACTTTAAACTCTTGAAATATTCCAGCCTGTAGAAAAAAGTAAACATGAAAAAAAAATAAGTATATTGAAGAATGAAACTTAACACAAAAGGTTCTAGATTTCATTTTGTATGTTAAAAAAAAACACATTATACTAACCCCATGAAAGTAATTTCTGATGGTCAATCAACACACCTTAAGCTTTTTCTACGCTCATCCATTAGAGTAACACTACTCAATAGTCGAGGGTGGAACAGGGATGTTGGTCTCATGCAAAGGCTTGCAAAGGGCCCTTCATCTAGTTTCTTGGACCTGCTGCCCTCCATGTGATTCTCCCGCCTCCTTTTGGGGCCATCCCTACAGCACAGGCCATTTGGAAAATAGCCAAACAGTGTGGTAATGCAAAAGTGATAGTTTCCCATTTCTTTTATCCCCGAGGTCATACTGTGCCCTTAGGTGTTAAAAAACATGCTGAATTATATATGAAATCTGAACCATACAGGTATGACTTTGTAGGAACAAAGAGATTACATTATAACCAATACAAGGAAAGTGTTTTTTAATAAGGGCAGTAGTGGTAAAGATCATATAACCTGCAAACAAATGTTCTGGGCTCTCACTGACTGTTGGCCAATCCCTTAAACCTTTCCTCAGTTTCCACATCTGTAAAATAGGAGTAATAACAGAGCCTACCTCCTGGCACTACTGTGAGAGTTAAATGAGTTAAACATATAAAACGCAAGAGTATCTGGACTCTTAATAAATCTTAGACATTATTATTCTTAACCATTATCTCTGTAAGAACAAAAAAAAATTACCTATTGTTTTCTAAGTCGAAGACCTTCGGAACTCACCCCCCTAGGTGAGAAGTACCCTCTGTCCCCGGCTTACGGGCGTCCCTTACGCACCTGGATAAAGGCGTTCGCTTGCACACACTTGGCGTTTTCCACTGTCACCTTGATTCCATTTTTGGTGGCGAAACACGTGGCATGGTCCCGGAAATGAATGGCCTTCAGGACCGTGGAGAGGTTCCTGACGTTGTCGAGGCTGGCCACCAAGCCGCAGTCACTCTGCTCGGGGGCCCGCTGGGGCACGAGCGGCATGGTCCCCGAGCGGCCGGCCCGCTCCCGTGGGCTCCGGGTACCTGGGCGGATGCACAGTGAGACCCCCGCCAGCGCCCGCGAGGCCGCGCGGCGACCGCGCCGGGGCGACGTGGGGGGCCTGGACGTGGCACCTGGCGGACCGGGGACGGAGCCCCACCTCTGCCACTTAACTGCAACTTCAGGGAGATAGCAGTTTCCTCGTCTTTAGTAAGACGACAGTGATACAGGACAAGCTGTGAACCGCGCTCACAGGTAACCAAGGAGGTAGCTCTCCTTGGGGCTGGTGTCGCCACGCCAAACTGGGCCCGGGTCGGAGCTGTCCCGCGCCCCCCACCCCGCCTCTTAAAGAACAAGGGGGCGGGCGCCGAGTCCTCAGAAGAGCCACCTTGAGTCCCGCCCCGGGGCGGCATCTGTTTACGGGTCCCGGGAGCCCAGGGCGCGGAAACCCTACCTTTGCCGTGGGATCTGGACGCCTAGGAACACTTCCCGGCCAGGTCACTGGGAAAGCGGACGGCAGCTCTCGGGGAAACGCGGAGCAAGCGGAACAGCTCCCGCCACTCTTTTCGGATCGGCGGCCCACCTCGGCCACCGTCACCACAGAGCTAGCCGACGCCTAGAGAGGCAAGCGTGCAGCGCCACCGAGACCGGAAGAAGGCTGGAGGAGGACAACAGAGACCGGAAACGGGAGCGAGCGGCGGCGCCGGAAGGAAGGCCCACGGTGGAGGCGGCCCAGCAAGATGGCGGCCACCAAGAGAAAACGGCGTGGGGACCTGGCGGTTCCAGCGAAGAGGCCAAAAAGGAACGAAAAAGGTGCCAGGCCGCCAGCTAAGCAGCGCGAGAAGGCAGAGGACGCAGAGGAAGAAGACAGAAACCGCATCCCAGGCCCGGTTTGCAAGGTACAGGGTGCTATCCCCGGGTTTCACCTGAGGCCGCTGCTGCTTGCGCCTCTCTTGGGATTATCTAATCACGGCTCCGCGGACTGCCGAGTTGCTCGGGTGATGGGGAGGCTGCTTTCCAGCTCTCGGCTAGACTGGTCACTGCGTTTACGTCTAATTTTCGTGCACGTGGCTGTCTCTAGGAGGCGGCCAGCCGAGCGACTGCGCGGGCTTCAGAGCTCTTACCTGGCTCACGGGAAATCGCCTTGCGGAGTGCTCAGTTCTAGTGTTTGGTTTTACAGTTACCCCCACACCACCCCCTTAAAGTTATTTTTAGCTGTTGAACATCGCCCTTAACAGTGGCTAGTTCCCATGTTCTGTCACAGTCCACTACTGTCAGTCAGGGATCCTGAAGCCTGTTACACGGTCCGTTAAAAAGGTACTGTCCTTGGAACTATGACTTGAACTTGTTTAATTTTTAACTCTCAAAGGATAACGGAAGCTAGAGTAGATGATTTGAGTTTTATTTGTGTTCACCAAACCTTTACAAGTGGGCATTCTACGAAGTTCGGTTTCCCCTGCTTTGGGATTGCAAAACTAGAACGTGACCTCTTTTCTTCATCCTGAATGTTGGAGTTTGGAAGGAAACTAAGGATTCATGTAAATTGATAGTCTTTATTCAAAAAAAGGTAAACACGAGTTCTTGGACCTAATTTTCATTCAGCTGAGAGCTTCCTAAGCTAGATGGAATACTATGGAGACGTGGAGTGCGTTTGAGTTAGTGATTTCTGCGTCCCCCCCAGCTTAACTTGATAGTGTAGCACGCAGTCAGCTATAACTGCATGACCCTGTGTGACGTGTTGGCAAACACGAGGAGGGGAGTAGCTCTGAGGAGTGAAAAATGAGTGTAAATTCTAGTCTTGCTATTAATTAACTGAGATTCCGAGCTCTTTTCTCATCTGCATAGTAAGAGGAAGGAAATACGAACTTTTGGTGAGGGATCTAGATTTCCAGTAAATGTTAGTGTTCTCACGCTTGCCTTAAGGACCTAGAAAGAAATAGTGTCAGTGATCTGACTCACGATATGGAAAATTCTACTGAAGTGCAGAAGATACAGATTACTTTTACCCGAGGATAATAGGGTAAGGGATCATGAAGCAATTACTTAGCCCTTGACTGGATCTCAGGGGAAGGGCAGAATTTCGATACTCAAAAATGAGAGTGGTATTTGCAACCGCCTCTGTTCTCTGACGCCAGCACCGCCTCTAGCTTCCGCACTCCAGCCGAAGGAGTAGGGGGTAAGTAAGTAAAGAGGTCTCTGTGCGGTGGTTCCCACAGAGCAAGCTGCCTGCCAATCAGCCTGTTGTAAAGCACCAAGGGAGCGAAGGGCTGCCAAAGCCGCTTGCAGGAGTGCACCCTCTACTGGAGGGGTGAAGAAACCTCATCATTCCAGGACTGGCACCGGGGCACTTTGGGAAATTAGATTGGATCAGAAGTCAACCGAATTTCTGGTTAGCAAACTTCCCTTCTAGTGTCTGGTGTGACAAATAGCTCAGGACTTCAGATCAGATCTGCACTTCCAGAGTGCAAGTGTTGGTGCTTTGCAGGAGGCAAGTGAGGCCTGCCTGGTTGGCCTTCACGAAGACACCAACCTGTGTGCTGTCCATGCCAGAGGTGTAGTAGTTATGCCAAAAGACACCCAGCTAGCACGCAACATACATGGAGAAAGTGCCTAAGAATCCATTATGATGGGAAACATTCTTAAAAAAATAAAATTCTCTTCTTCCTCATCTTGTTATTGGTAGTTTTGAACGTTGTTCTTTTTCCATGGGGTCAAAAGGTACCTAAGGATATGATTGCAAGTGGAAAATAGGGGACAGAAATCAGGTGTTGGCCATTTTTCCATTTTTGCTTCTGAGTGTTTTAATATATATGCAGGGATATGTAGTATTATGAACAAGTTCAGCAGTTTGACTTTATAACAGTATAAATAAACCTGTTAAATTTTTCTGGACAGTGCCAGCATTTGGACTTTTTTTAAACAAGTGAATTTCTTATTGATGTCAACTAAATGGTCTTTGTAGCATTTTTATCATGCAGTAGATTCCATGCATTCATTGTGCTTTTCTGAGTTGTCCTTCATACAAGTACGTTTTTCATGCTGTCTGCCTTCTGTGCTGTTCCTGTAAGTTTGCTGTTAAATACATTAAACTGTAAAAAGAAATGAGAGGGAACAATACAAGGGAGAGGGGAAAACTGATGAGAGGTGTTGAAGTTTGGGAAATTCTGAAAATTTAAAAAATAGAGCCAGATTGGTTAAAGTGTACTGTTGATTGGGATAATATGAGGTGAAAATATAAGTCTATTTTAGCATTCAGTGTTAAAGCTGTGTCATTTTGGACTTTGTTTTTCTGTTTAGAAAATCCTGGGAGTTAGGATGTGATTGGAGCTGCACTTTGAGTTTAAGCTGGTGCTACTCGTCATATCTATTGGAGGAGCTCCTGGCTGGGAGGCTGGGAAGGAGACCTGCAGTTGGTGCAGGTTATACACGGGTCTGAAGGAGGGCAGTGGGAATAGGAATGGATTAACAGTAGTTGCAGCGAGAAACTGACAGCATTTAGTAGTGCTTATGTGAGAGAACAGGGCAAATGGAAGAGTCAGGGCCTAGAGGACTGAAATGATGGTGATATCATCATAAAAATCAATAACAAGGATATTTACCAGATTTAAGGTTTAGTATTCTAGAGAATTTGAGGTTAGTAGGACTGGAGAGAGTTCTTTACCTTTTTGTAGAGCCGATGGTTGAAGCTATGGGCATGATTATGAGGGCTCTCCTGGAGAGAACAGAACTATAAGAAGCTGAGACAGAACCTTAGAGTCAGGAGGGGGAATTGGAGAGATTGAAGGAAAGAGAAACAAAAAGGGAAAGAAGCCAAAGAGTGTTTCTGGGTGGCAGTTGGGGTCAGTGAATGCTACTGACCGAATTAAAGGTTCAGGTGAGGGTGGTGTGGCTTGCTACTTGGAAGCTTTATCTTTAAACAAACAAGGTTCACTTTGCCATTTAAAATCTTCTGTTAACATTTTATTTTTTTCCAGGGCAGGTGGAAAAATAAGGAACGGATTCTCATCTTTTCTTCCAGAGGAATAAATTTCCGAACAAGACATTTAATGCAAGACTTAAGGATGTTGATGCCTCATTCCAAAGCAGGTGCCTTTATGTCCTCCTGTAAAATTGATGTTTCTAAACTTGCCTGTCTATATATTTCCACTTTCATACTTCAGTTTTCCAGTCTTGTGGGGTAAAGAACCACTGCTCTTCCTCAGAAGTGTGGTTTTTTTTGGTGCTAAGATTTGTCCTGTTAACATTTTGTCAGAAGTGCTTTGCAAGATTTATTAAGCGTTCTCTTCCTTAAACAGATGTCATAATTACTGAAACGTTCTTAAAGGTCCAGAAATGCCTTCATTATATGTTCTCAGAGGTCATGCATGGCTTATCTTTTCAATGATTCAGGACTGCCATGTATTGCTTTCCGCATTAAAAACACAAACAAAAACTGTTCTAATCTGAAAATTAATGGCCTTGGAGTAGGATTTCAGGAGGCTCAGTTGGGGCTCAGCCTCCTAAATGCCAGGCTAATCTTCTTAGTGGTGGGGGGGTCCCACCTGCAAAGTGATGGACGTCCAGCACCAAGTTTGCAGTGGGCGGTGCCCTCGTGGAGGCGGAGCTGTCTCTGAGCCTGTGCAGGGAGTGGCTTTGGTTCTCCCCCCCCAGGTAACAGCATCGCTCTTTAGATCGGTGTTCCGCAGACGCGGGCCTGCTGTCTATCTCAGGTCTCTGAAACTAATAAGAGGAATTTTAATTTTTGTCGGTTTTGTTTTTTCTTTTGTTAATCAAAAACAAATTTTTCGAGTTTCCTTTGGCAACTGTGACTCACAATTAAATTTTCATCACTACAAAGTTTAGTTTGAGTGTTTCTTAAACTGGAGTCCTAGAACATGGTATTCAGTTGTGAGGATTTTTCTACTTTCGAAAGGGATGCACCAAATACGTAAATTCTGAGGAAACACTGCTCAGGTCATTATAATTCTTCAGGATTATTTTTAACTGCATATTTTTACATTTAAAGAGAACCAAGATTTTTTTAAAGATGTCATGTGTTTTCAGATCTAATCATTTTGAATGTTAATAAAATCTCATTTAAACTGAAGATTTTAAAAGTAATTAGAAACTATGTGATTTGATTGAAGGTGCTTGGAAATCTTTTGTTTACTTGCTTTTTCTTTTTTTCTTTTTATAGATACTAAAATGGATCGTAAAGACAAGTTATTTGTGATTAATGAGGTAATTTTAGAAAGTAAAGTAAAATATTCTGGGAACACTATTTAGGAACAAAATATTATGGAACATGAAAGCTGCTTCCTTTAAAAAGTCAATTATCCAATGACTTTTTTTAAAAATGAAAGATTTTATTAAATCTTCACTAATCTGCCTTCTAAATTTCAGTAATACTCACTGCATCTTAATTTGGTGCTTCAGATTATATAGTTTCTTGATCATTCTTACATTTATCTTGTTTCAACAAGCATATTGATTGATGTTTCCTGAGGACAAGAACTCTGTCTCAGTCTTCTCATTATGTGTAACACGAACGTATACCGCTAAATGCACACTTGGGTACACATAAAAAATGATCAATTAACAGGTATAAAAT